CCCCCTTGTCAATAGCACCGGGCCTTTTTCAAATTTGGATTCCCATTTGAAAATATTGTCACATTCAAAACAATGATTTTCAAAGTGCGAAATACTTGCACGCATCTACGTAGTACTTCTTATTTTCCCCTACGTTCATTGGGACATCGCTATCAGAGACTCACGCGTGATGCGACCGCAGTGCAGCTCTGCGGCCAGACGCGAAACTAAACAAACGAAACTTGAGCTGCCGCGCGGTGGAGCTGCGGGAGGCGCTGATAAATTTTTACGGCATCGCGTCGCCCACGCAGTGCGTGCAAAGCGCGCGAGCAGGGCGGGCGCGGCGACGCGCGGCGACGGCGCGGCGCCCCCGGAGCGCAACGCGTTGGCTTCGCCATCTCCCCCCGCAGCGCTGCGCCGCTTATCGCGGGCGACTTTCGTTTTTACGGGTTTAAGTAATTAATGCAGCTGTTATTAGGAGCGGGTCGTAAAGTTTGAGGTTATGACGTGGCGACCCTAAGGGCATTAATGCGTGGAAGTGTAAATTAGACTCCGCGAGGATATCGTAAAAAAAGCGCGAAATTAAATTTTTGTTTTGGAGATGGGAGGGAAGGCAGATGAGAGGGAGGTTCAATAATACCCGGGTGACGATTGACAAAACACGGAAACAATGGACAATTGGGATTGTGTGGTGCATTCTATTGCAGCCAAGCGGTCAATGAATGAAAATGAAGTCTGGTTTAATTTCGGAATAATTCATGTAATATCGATTTGTTCCATGAGCCCATAAATGTACCGCGATAATGATCAAGACATTTTGTCAATGAAAGAAACTTTTTGAACACCTACTCTTTAATTTAATACTAAAAAATATAAAATTAAAGGAAATAATTCGTTATTTAATATCGAAGATGATTCAATTTTGCGTCCCTTAGTTTCGGTTTAGGAAATTTTCTTACACCAACGCTGCTTTTTGGGGACGCATATAACATTAAAGCAGAACTTTCACGTTATTTCATCCCCATTTTCCTCTATATATTTTGTTTTTATTTGTGTTTTACTTTTACCATAGTATTGGTCATCAACATTTCATGAGTACTCTCCAAAAATGTAGGAATGACATTGATACGACAGCCAGGTAATTCTTCGAAAAATTCATTTAATAGCATTTATCAAACTTTTAAGACTACAATGTGTGCATTCATTATGTAAAGTATACCAAGTATTATTCTCTCTGCATGATTCATTCAAAGTAAAATTCGATTACAGTCGAGGAATTAGAATACAAATTTGATATACGTGTTATTTACACGCCATTTCAGTCACCGATTAATAAAACAAATAATTAAACTGCGTGTGTGGAAATTGGCAGTTTACTTTGGGGTGCTAGAATCCGCACGCCTAAATTGGATTCAACACGATAACATTTCACAAAATTTTGTACGATTTCACGTGTTCGACAATATCAGTTATATTTGCCTTTAGCTGTAAGGTGGATAGGGTCAATATTAAATTAAATGTATTTCTCGTTGCAAACACATCACCGGTGGAAGGGGGTCGCATCATAAACTGAAATTAATTACCATTACTCATTTTGACGGCTGAATCATCAGGAAGAGCGCCATGTTGCGCTAAGTAATCACTAACACCGATCTTCCTGCATTGCATGTACAATTTAGTTTCCATTGAACGGCGTCTATAAAATGTAACTGATAGCTTAATTAGAAAGTATGTGGATTAATGTGGGATAATCTCGACTAACTGGCAATGTTTCAATTACGACTGTAACGAGTTCATTACGCAATAATAGACAAGAGATGCTACATCATGTTCCAAAGTGTGGGGGAATCCCGATCAAGGACAGAAACATGCAGCTGTACAGCAGTCGATACATATTAAAATAATAATTGCGTAAAGATACGAATGCGACCTTTTTTCTGGTACTAAACAATTTCTTTTAGAAGACGTGGTGTATTTTTACACACTTTTCATGCCTTTTAGTGTTACCTTGAGTACTAAAAATCTTCTTTCCTTACTACCGTGGACAACTGTTTCTATTTTTTAAATATATTTTTTATCTGATGGATATACGTACTAATAAAAGCACCACAATCCACTGGCGGAAATCGAGAACGCACCGCAATAGAGTTGTGACATGCCTAAAGTGATGCAATCTCAGTTAAAACGGGTGTGAACAAAATGATTAATCTTTTAGAACCTTAAAAATTGTTTTTATTAAAATAGTTTAATTCTCCCCATAATACACCACCTGCAGATTTCATCAATCATTATGTAACAGATTAATTGAATCTGAGCGAAAGAGATTATTTTGTCACACGTGTTCTTGTTTAGAGGCAGTCCGCGCTCACAATGGATGAAGATGCATCTCTCGGAGCGCAGCTTAAAGCGTCAGACGCAAAGCGCCTTCACACTCTATCCTCCACAATCTGACTCCCTCAACATCGCTGCGCTCTCCACGACTCTTCTCACTATCCCCGTCGCCCCACCACCACCATCGCCACCGCCGTTTCCATCGCCCGCCACTTCACCTTCCCCTCCCACTCCCTTCCGCCCCCGGCGCCGCCCCACTTCGCCCTCTCCGCAAAGAAAACCGACGTCCCCCGCGGGATGACGAGGAAGAAACTTGGGTATAAACAAACTGACACCTTTTATCCCCGAGATCGACAAAGCGGCTTAAAGAGATTTTACGGCGAGCTGACAAGCAAGCGCGCGGAGCACGGCGTGGGGGCGGGGTCGGGACGGCGGCGGGGGCGGAGGCGCCGGGAGAGCGAGGTTAATGTCGAGGACGCGGCAGATAAGACAGCCCCTCGGGCGCCGGCGCGCCGCTGCACACTGGTTCCAAATGGGCCAAAGAACGCGCACGCCAAGAATTTAAATATAATGGTGCTCTCGACTGATATTTCACGAGTATTTCTAATAATTATAAACACCATAATTTCGTAAAAGTACGATTATGGTTATAATATATTATAATATCATATTATAATATATTTTTATTATATTTTATATTATATATAATATATTTTATGTCATATTATGTTATAATATAACATAATATCAATTATAACTCATATTTCACGAGTATTTCTAATAATTATGAACACCATCATTTCGTAAAAGTACGATTATGGTTATAATATATTATAAAAAATATGATATACTTTCATTATAACATAGGTGTCTGACCAATCACAGAAAAGTTTAGAAATTAGAAACGCAGAGAAGCATTTAGAAGTACGTAATTAATTATTTGTCAGCGTACAATTATGAGTATCGTTGAATTGTGTATATTACAGAGCCACAACATCATGTGGGGGCTACACGATCAACAACACACACTTTCCCCTGTTTCTACAACTCAGAAAACAGTGAGAATGAACCCCCTATGGGGACCGTATCAATTAAGAAACTGGTACGAAATAAAGTCAGATATTGAACCTTGATGACATTTCTTTTTTAACGTAAATCATGACTTGTGTCGTTTTCTACTCATTTCAAGTCTGACTGTACTTATGATTAATTAATGCCACCAGGGTCGTCTATTTTGCTATCCGCTAGATGGCTTTAGCTGAATCCTGCAAGACCGTTGCCATGTAACCGTTCAGGACAAGAGATTAAGTTATAAGAGTGGTCATTAGCCGTTGAAAAATACAATGTGATACTCGATATAATGGTTATTAATATAGTTGTATGAAGTTCACAATACTATATCGTTCCTCACTCGTATAAATATACTTTCTTACAAGTGAATTCATATCCATACATCCATCATTACATCATCGTTTCGTAATATACTATTATTATATTGTAATAAAATACGTTTGTCACTATTATTAGCATTCTTCCAATGAAAATAATATATGTATATATATATATATATATATATATATATATATATATATATATATTCGTTTTATATAAAACATATGTGTACCTACAATAATAGCATGTAACAAGAGTGTATATAATACATGCCAGGTCTCAACCACACGAGAAGATTCTACACTTAGCGATAAATTCACAATTATTCCCCGATTAGTAGAATAAAGTGTAAAATATTTTGCTTTATCGGCTCAATTTTCACAAATCTACAATAACCCTAATAATTTTATTATTTTTCTTTGAAAATTCTATTGTCTCCAAAATAAAGTTATTTTTAAATAATATACACAATAAAGTCGTAATACACTTCGCTCGAAAGAATGTAAAACATCTTTGCTGTCCAAATGATAACACAATGAAAACATCTAGCAAATATTTCAGCTATCAAGGAAGTTTGCCACACATCACACAGCAGTTACAAACACAAAGATTATTGGAGGTCAGTTTCTTCGTTTCCACGCTACGTGTAACAAAACGACTGTTGCTAACCTACACTGTGTTTTGCTACTTTAAAATGTATATAATTGTATAACTAATGATTTTTAATTAAATAGTTTCATACATTTAATCCTAAAACTACAAAAGATGATTCTGAAAATAGTGGGATATTTTTACTTCACTCCAAGGGTCAAAAATATTTCCGAATGAAGTATTTACTCATAATTAACAATTAAAATAAACATAAGTTCATGAAAGCACAACATTCATTTCTTCTAGACCCTTAAGTTTAAAAACTAAGGAACTGATGCTTTATTTAACTTCATTAATTTTTATCTGGAATTACTGGATTTTTTAACAATATTGACAAATTGACAATCCACAACAATTATCAATCCATAACAATCCACCGAGCAAATATTGAGATTTTTTGCATTGTCCATAGAAAGTGAACGAAGCTACCCCCAACTCCCAAAGAAAAAAAATCATATTAAATAGTACCTTCCACTTTACGATGAAAAATCAAAACATTCTTGCCTTTTCTGAAATTCAAACTCACAACCTTGCGGAGTGATAACGGTGAGCGCCATAGTATATATTTAAATTACCTACTCATGACACACTTGTTTTAAATTCGTTTCCTTGCTCTGAGAAATAATTCTCTCTGTCCGTTTTCGCAGCCATTTCGACCCACTGCGTGGCGAGCGGTGGGCGGGTGGGCGCACGGAGCTGCCAGAAAGGCAGACGCTGCGGCATTGGAAGAGGCAGGCTGCGGCGGAGGCAGGGGGCGACGGCGGCAGGAGCGGTGTGGATGGCCCCACGGTAGCTGTCATTCAACGCCTACAATCTCTTAAACGCCACGAAAAAAGGCTTTAACCAGAATCTCCAGAAAAGTGCGAACACTCCAGAAGTTGGGCTCTTTTGAAGAGACACCCCGCGTAAGTGTACGTGGAACTCATTAGTCGGTTCTGAATTCGCGAAATTTTGTGGAGGATTTGAGCTGCGAGAATACTAGCTGCGAACGTTTCGATACCAATGTATGGAGCCATGGGGATATGTAATTTAATGGCAAAAGTTATTTTTAAGTTTTAATTTACAGTACTCTTACTTTAATCAGCGAGTTCGTGTCATGTGATAACGATTTCTTGTTTTTTACACATTATCATAGAAAATGTTCATTGGCTTTCGTATACAACTTCCTAAGTTCTATGTATTTGCAGGATTTCATAAAGTAAAATAAATGTTACATTTATAGACTCGACTTGCTCTGTTAATGCTATAACACAGCATCCCTTGCCTATAGCGTTTAAAGCTTGTGAAGATGGCTCTCTATCATTGATGTGAAGGCAACAAAATATGCTCTTCGCTGTCACATTCACCTTCGATAATTTGTATAACCAAAAACGACGACTTAAACACCAGCCACCTTCTTGAAATTTCGCATATTTGGAATTGGACAATTTGATCTACGTTTCTGGAAATGACCATGATACATTTGTAAGTTATATAAAAAATTACGGTTTCTCGTGGCTTTCAATGCGATGATTTTAATGTTGCATTGCTGTTCCAGATTTTACAATAAAGTCTGTGCTGTGTTAGAATGTTACGAGTATGTATTAAATATTAATTCTGCTCAAGGTAAAGTCATTAGTATTCAGTATAATAATAAGAATTGTAGTGAACGGAAAATAAGAATAACTAGTACATCACTTCTATAAACAGTGTCTGACAAATAAATGAAAGAACATTGCGTGTGTCTATGAAATGGATTCTCGCTCCTGTTCTTGCTCCAACAATTAATAATAGTCTGACCTGATAAACACCTTAGTCATCTCAAACACTTTCTTTCCCATGGTCTCTTACTCATCCATCGGCAACCCCCAATACACCGCCTCAGCCTCAGACACCTCGCAACTCCAGAACCAGAGGGTTCTATCTATACTTTTAGTCATTTTACAGGGGAGCAACCTTTAAATTACTCTCCTGTAAAATGACAAATTTGCTCCCTCTGGTAAGCGAACTACATTTTAATTAATTCAAAAATAGGTCTATAGAATGAACACGCTACGGCCAAGTGTACCAAACATATTTTATTCATTAATGATCAACATACAATTTCTTACATAATTTTTAAAACTTTGAAAGAGCAGATGGAAACTTTTGTCTTCAAGTATAACTATACATTTCAGATCCAGAAGGTTCTTATAATAGAATTGCCTTATAATACTCAACATAAACTGCAGGTACCCATTTTATCATCAACTTTATATTATTTACTTTCTCCTTTAATATTTCTTTTTCCCTTTTATATTTACTCCTCAGTGGATGCTTGACAGTGGTGATACAGGTTCTTTTGATGTGCCTGCTTTTGATTTCTTTACCAAACTTGTACAATTCAAAGATTCGTGACCATGATAACAAACGTGACTGGTTTTGAGTTGAACTCTTAGCAAATCTGAAGGATGAAATTGAAGCTGGGACACTTGAGTGTAGGGCCAGCGTTGGTAGTCACGTTTAGATTGGGTTTGAAAGGCATAAAAGTCTTTTGATGACACGTTTTTATAGTTTCTCATTCATTATATTCACTTTAAATGTATACTCTATACTAACATGTAATATAATGTAATCATATAACCTCAACACGTTCGACAATGTGATTCTTCAATGGGTGCTGCAGATAGAAGTGTCCTGTATTCACGTTTGCCAAATAATAGAAATAGAACTATTCCCTACTTATGACTTTGAATAAACTGCAAATTTATTTACAATATTATTCTTAATTGTAACATCTAAGCTTTCTCTATACATACATACAATAAAATCAGAAATGATAGAAATTGCCGAGAGAACCATCTGGTTCTCACGTCGTGAACTTCCGCTCCACGAAAGTCACACATTTTACATTTATCTCTCAATATATACGCGTTTTTAATTTCACCACACTCGAGACTTCCATGGTCAGTGACTCTTCTATATCACGCTTTCCGTTCTTCTTCTTCTTACTCCATCACCAAACGATATTCCGGGCCCGTAAACACCTCAATCATCGCAAACTGCACCTCTCCCACTCCGTCGGCAAACCTCTCGCCGCGCCGCTCCGTCTCAGCCGCAGGCAAGTTGCAAGGCGCGAGCGGCGACATGTTCCGGAACTTGCGTTCCCGCGGGATGCGCGAGCGGGCACGGGCGGCGGGGGCGAGGCGGCGGGGGCGGCGGGCGGCGGCGGGGGGCGGGGGCGGCGGGGGCGGCGGGGGCGGGCCGGGGGCGGGGGGCGGAGGAGGGCGGAGGGGCGGGGGCGGCGAGGGCGAGGGCGGCGGGGCGGCGGGGGCGCGGCGGGCGGGGCCGGCGGGCGGCGGCGGGCGGCGGAGGCGGCGGAAGCGGAGCGGTCGTGGCGCGCGGGCGGTGCGGTGCGGGCGGTCGCCTCCTGACGCAGCTTCGCGCCCTCTAATTATACCGCGGGGCGGTGCGCGGCGCGGGTATAGGGATATGCTAAGCAGCGCGCGCTGCTCCAAGTTTCCACAATATCCGCACTAATCGCGCGGGGAGCGGATGCGCGCCGGCGCCGCTGTCGCCCGCGCAGCCTGTTCGCGCCTTTTCTGGCGGCGGCGCCCGCCACGCGAAGGTGTTGGGTTGATTGAGTTGCGGTGGAGTTTGATTAATTGTTTATGTTTTCCGAGGTCCGCGTTTCTGCTCTTGCCTGCGAAATTACTGCGTCCAACTGAGATATTATCGTCGTAATGCTTATAAATTGTTAATGATCTGAGTTTAATTTATTAATAAGTATCACAAAAACGCTGTACATTTTCCTTTAAATTTTCTCCACATATCTAATAAGGAACGCTAAAAAGTAGTGTTAATTCCATTTTCGAATATTGCTCTTTTTTTCGAAAATTGCAAAATAATTCAAAACAAAAAATTGAAGATAGAGATTTTTGCCACAGGCAAAGACTGTTCTACAATATTATCTCTTTAAAAAACGTTAGTTAAAAAGTTAGTAGTTTTCGTATAATTTCTGTCTGAAATTAATAAAAAATATGTGAGCGTTCCGTCGAACATATCAATAGCATTGTAACATTGCCAGAAAGTATTTTCTGTTGTAGCACCACTAGTTAATCTTGAAATGATATCATTGAAAACAAAATTGTAGATTTCATTCTTCGCACTTGTGTAATCCCCAAAAGGGAAGAGAGAACAAAAAGGAACTGAGAAGGGTATATCATGTATTAAACTATTGCTGCTAAAAATGGCACAGACTTTCTCTTATTAGTTTTACATTACATAACATTATAACACTATATTACACGTACAATATATTATACGCTGTGTGTGATGTGGATATATACTCCTATAGATCGATTTTATACTATTTGTACTAGTATATTTTATCTAAGATTCTGGGAAAATAAAGTAAATTTAAGTCCAATTCCTATGAGATTTCAGATAAAATAATATTCTTATAACATGAAATTAGTAATATAATTAAATCTCCTTTTGGTGTAAAATTTTGTATATTATTTTATCTCCCTTTATAATAAAGATGTATATATTTTTTATTAATTACATATTTATTTAAAAATTGATTTCCGAAATTCTAATCAATCATAGCCAAAACATGAGCCCGGAATCACTTTATATCAAAGGACGCATCGTTTCTCTTTGCACCGCAGTGAATATTCATTTCTGAATTGTCCTAGCAATCCATTCACGTCTAGTGCACTTGATGGATGTTTTCGAAACACACGTTACTTCAAGAAAAAACGTTCGCACAAAAAGACGACGATTCTTCTCACTTACTTCGTTCGCTGCATTTCGTCGGTTTCGAGATATTAGGAACGAGTTGCCATTATCCGCATATTTCCCGTCCTTTTTTTCCCCGTAGCCTGTTTCTGCCTGGGCACCGCCGAGCGGGCTACGCGAGCTAACGGTCGTTTCGGGCGGCAGGCGGAGGCAGCTGCAATCCGTGAATTAATTTACTGCGACTTGCGCAACCTGCGGAAGTAGAACGAGAACAGCGGCGGCGGGGATGGCATCGGTGGGAACGATTGGATGTTGGAGGCGGATGTGACGCTACACACGGAAACGGAAGAGGGAATGTGAGAATGGGCTGCGCAAAGGCGACTGCAGAATTAGGAGATTGATGTGTACACACATGTGAAGCCGGAAATGAACGTAACGGATGTGGTGGCCGTGTTATTAATGTTGTTCTGGTGGAGATGGTGGTGGTGATGGTAATGGTGGTGGATGGGTAATGGTGATGGTGATGGTGGTGATGGGCGCAGTGGGGGTGAAGGTAATGGTGGGGGTTATGTTAACAATGGCGGTAATGGTAATGGTGACACTAATGGTAATAATGGTGCGAATAGTAATGGTTGCCATTGTAGTAATGGTTATGGTTATTGTGGTGGTAATAATACCGATTGTGATGGTGGTAATAGTAATGGTTGTGGTGCTGGTAATGGTGGAAGTGGATAGTGATCGATGACTCAGATAGTTACGGTGACTGAGTTACAGGTGGTGACGGTGTCGTAAAAGTTAAACCACATGACAAAGAGGTAACCCCATCAACGAAGTCGATGGCCACATGAAGAGCAGTGGAGATGACAATGGGTGCGCCGCCGGGCGTTCGCAGCGGAGCCCAGTAGCGCGGGCAGCTCTGGAGAGGGAGGGAGGGCGAGGCAGGGCGCGAGGGCCGGCGCGAGGGCGGGGCGAGGGCAGCGGTCAGGCGCTCGTCTGTATGCGCCGAGTGCACAGCCCCCTCCCACGCCGCCGCCGGCGCCACCACTCTTCATCCCCGCCCCGTCCGTTAATCAAGTCCGCCCGCGGGCTCGAAACAAAACACGGGCGGCCGGCGTAATGACAATTTTAATGTACATTACGGCGCCGGTCCGGCGCTCAATAATTGTTCAAAGCCGGCCGGAAAGAGGGCGGGCGTTTTCTATTAGAAATGCAGCACTCGTACCAAACAACTCGTGCAAAGCAGTCCAAACGGACAGTGGCGGTCCCAGCGCCCCACGGTCAATACGACTAGTGTGTCGAGTGCAATTATAAAACGGAATAAAAGCGTGTCGCGCTGGCCCTGGCTGCGAGGACGCGAGGGACTGTGTGGCGGCGACACGGGAGAGCACGTGAGGGTTTCAAGAGGATGAAAGGGTAGAGGCAGTGAGACAACAGGTAGGAGCAGTGAAGTAGAGTTTGGCGTATGTGAACATTAATACACAGAGAAAAGAAAGTATAGAAGGGAGAAACGGAAGGCAAAAAGATAAGATGAACAATAGAATGAAAGAAATTTCAAGATGTGCAATGAAAAAAGACGAAAAAGAGTAAGTAAAAATATCTGGAAGAGCAACAGTGAAATGTAATACTTTATACAATTAATGAATTGAGTGAAATGAAAACTGAGTAAAATGTTTGAATCAGGAAAGAGGAATTGAAATTAGCAGTGAGAGGGCCAGAAATGGTGAAGAAACGTAAGAAATTCACAGGCCGCCAGTAGAATCAGAAAGCCTGAGAAAGAGTTAGTGATATTTTAACAAATGCAGGAAGAAGTGGAAATCTGATATAAAAGGTGATAGTAACCAAACGTACGAATCCAACGAAAAGGCGAGAGGCGTGCTGCAGCGCACGTGTGCGGGCTGGCTAAATGGGAACGCGGATAGGTGAGCGACTGCGGTTGGGGCAGCGAGTGGCAGGGGACGCGACAAGTCCCGTGATGTCAATTGGACTCCTGATGGACAGCGCGCACAAAGCTAGGTCGCATTGCGCCCCCAGCCGCACTCTCCCCTCTCCCGCCCCCACCGTGACGCCCTCGCGCCAACACACAGAGACCGGCCATCCTCGTGCGTGCCTCCACGCCCGG